ATCCTCACTCAGTCTCCGAGCTCAAGGTCGAGATGATGTCGATCTGACCTCGGGGTCGCCGGACACAGAACAGGAGCATCGCTTTCACTCTGACAAAACCCTCATTATTAAACAGCAATCCAAAATGTATTTATTGTGAAACTTTTGCCTTTAAACAGCTGATGAACGCCTTCATTCTCGCTCAGCGATGGAAACACACACACACACACACACACACACACACACACACACACACACACACACACACACACACACACACACACACACACACACACACACACACACACACACACACACACACACACACACACACACACACACACACACACGTCAAACGTTTTTAATGTTTTTAATAGAAGTCTCTTCTGCTCAGCAAGGCTGCATTTATTTGATTAAAAATTACAGTAAAAATAGTGAAATATTATTATAATGTAAATCAACTGTTTTCTATGTGAATATACAGTAAAGTGTAATTTATTCCTGTGATCAAAGCTGAATTTTCAGCATCATTACTCCAGTCTTCAGAGTCACATGATCCTTCAGAAATCACTCTCATATATAAAGATCTGATGCTCAAGAAAAGCATTATTATGATCAATGTTGAAAACAGTTGTGTAGTTTTTTTCTTCAGGATTTTTTGATGAATAGAAAGTTCAAAAGAACAGCATTTATTTGAAATAGAATCTTTTGTAACATTATGAATGTCTTTACTGTCACTTTTGATCAATTTAATTCATCCTTGATTAATAAAACTATTGATTTATTTGCCCCCAAAAATAAAATAAAAATTCTTACTGACCCCAAACTTTTGAACGGCAGTGTTTAATGTTACAAAAGCTATTTCTTTCGAACTTTCTATTCATCAAAGAATCCTGAAATAAAAATGTAAATAACATGTTTTCAACACTGATAATAATCATAAATGTTTCTTGAGCATCAGATCCTCATATTAGAGTGATTTCTGAAGGATCATGTGACACTGAAGACTGGAGTAATGATGCTGAAAATTCAGCTTTGATTACAGGAATAAATTACACTTTACTGTATTTTCACATAGAAAACAGCTGATTTACATTATAACATTTCACAATATTACTGTTTTTTTATTTTGTATTTTTTATGAAATAAATACAGGCTTGGTGAGCAGAAGAGACTTCTTTAAAAAACATTAAAAATCGTACCGATCTGAAACTTTTGACTGGTGTATAATTAGGAGTTATTTGAACAATCGGTTATTAACCTCGTGGAGAGATTCAGAAACATGGTTTAATAATCCAGACGATACTTCATCATATCATTAATTTCCGTTGTGCGTTTGTTCGAGAGCTCGAGTGATTTCCAGAAGAAAGTGTGGATCCGCCTGGAGAAGACTGTCGATAAAGGACTCTGAGATTGATTAGTCTTTCTCAGAAGGACTCTTAAAAGCATCGTATTGAACGCACAGGAACATCAATGCATCTCAATGCCGGACTGCACTGTTTAGTGCGCACACTCGGCTGAAACACACACTCGCCTGAAACACACACACACACTCGGCTGAAACACACACACACACACACACACACACACACACACACACACACACACACTCGACTATGAAGGAATGAGGGGATATTAGACAGAAAGTAAGTCCTGTGGTTCGCTGGGCTGATGCTGCCCCCTGGTGGACACACACACACACACGCGTGTGCCAGCACAGAACATCTTCATCCCAGCAGTCGTTCGAGATTAAAGGGCATAGTGACTGTGACCGTGTTGAAAAAGTAATGTGAAGAAAGTTACACGTCATCGGATACAAGTACCATATTTGGTACATTTAATAAGTAAAAGAGCCTCAGAATTACTAAAACTTTCAAATTTAAAGTCCCCCGTAGTTAATAATTGTATCCCTTAAAACTCGTTTATGATCACCAAAATGTCATATTTAAATGTTTTTTCCTTTAAAAAAAGTCTAAATGCCTTAAAACACCCTTGCCTCATTTAGTATGCGCGGTTCTATGAATATGCAAATGAGCCCCGCCTCCACTCACTCCCTCAGCTCAGAGATCCACTGGTTGACGATCACACGTTGATCTGATTGGTTACAAGCTCGTTTGTGACGTCAGAAACACCAGCGATTTCAAACCGTGTTTTTGAGACTGTCTTTGGTTCACTGCAGTTTTAAGCAGAAAATACTCAGCAATGCTGTCGACTTATGAACTTACACATGGTGTGTCTTACAGCGTATTAAAAACACCACATAGACACATAAACAACATTAAACGCTGGATTTACACCACAGGGGGACTTTAAATCAAAACAGAAACTATAATAGAATAGATCAATCAGGGACGTGCACAGGAATTTTGTGGGGCAGTTGCTCTGACCTGAAAAAGGGGCACAATCCTCCCTCCTTTAAACAAAACAGTCAAAGAATAAGTACAACAATAGTATAGAACAGAATGAGGTTCAAACAAACAATATTTATTGAATAGAGTATTTTCTATAGAATGTTAAGATAACAAGTGAATATTATTAAGTAAGTGAATATTAACGTAAACATAAATAAGAAGAAAATAATAAATTATAACCCTGAGCTTTGGCTTTTGGGATTAACTTTGGTTCTCTCTACAGCCTGGGCATTTTCGGCATCAGTATGATTTTTTTATTTATTATTATGCATGTTGAAGCAATTCTTGATTTATGGTTATTATTTACTGAGGGATGTGCATCCATATTGACCAGTATGTCCAGCTAATCAACATTTTAAATTCAATATAGCCTATAAATCAATAGTCAATCAATGTCAAATTGTCATTGCTTTCTATCTTGCATAATTAGTGCAGTTGTTTAGAGTTTTTAACACTGAGACTAGATAATCAGTGTCTTGTTTTAAAAGTATAATGTGTACTTTGATTGGGAGTGCCATCATTCACGTGCATATATTGTACAGTATGTCTGGTCTCCACATATTTCTGCTTGAAAAATGCGCGTTTCATTTCGTGCACGCGCATTTGAACGCACGATAACACACACGACGTGGTTATGTTTTCTGAGCTGCAGTAAACAAACACCGTTGCACTTTGTCGTTTATCAAAAACAAACGTAATAAATAATTGTATTTTACTCTCACTTTTGTCAGGCACAAAGTGATGCAAGAGATGCACTGCCTGCCCAGCTAGGTTAGCAAGACCGAAAAACATCAAACTTTGCTGACATCAAACTTAGAGAGCAGAGAACACAAGTTTACCTGATTGTTGTTCCCGCAATTCACTCTCATGGTTTTTTTCTTCTTCCTCTTTTCGTGACCAGAAGGATAGTGTCGCTTCATTTTGTCATGGATGTTGTACACATTAATTGACGCGCTATGACACGAGATGGAGGCGGGGCCTTAAGTAATTTGCGTGGCCCTACGCCGGTCGCGTGCAGTCTATGGTCGCGTGCAGCGCTACAGCCATGTAAACAGTTTGCCCTTCCCTTACTGACTTTCACTTTCGGTGCCCGAATGGAAGTGAATGAGGCTTTGCGATTTTTTTTATTTTTTTTTTATTATTTTAATATAGGCCTACGTGAAATTCTGCATCCATTGTACGATTTTTTTTCTTTCTCGGAAGGGCAACCTGAGTCGAGAAGGGCATATGGGCAGTTGCCCGGGCAACCTGAGCAACCCCCCTGTGCACGTCCCTGAGATCAATGCTACTTAAATAACACTGGGTTGCAATGTGAGAAAAGACACATTTTGAACAGGATTCATATAAAATCATCATAATGTGATTACATTAAATTAATCTAGGCAGAAAGAATTATGCATTTATTTTTGGTTTAGCATTTCTCTTGCCTCACAACTGCCTGGTAATAAAATAAACATGTAACTTTACTTTGTTTATCAGGCGTTACTTTGGTCAGTAGAGTGTGTGTGTGTGTAAAGCCCAGGTCAACACGCACTGATGTATCACCGATGAAAGCGGTTATCTGCACTATTGGCCATCGATAAAAACAGCCAATAATCAGAGCCCATTATATCCTGTCAATCAAAAGAGGGCAGAAAAATGTCATCGGTATCAGTGGAGAAATTCAGTATCGGTGCAACCAAAAAATAAATATATATATTTTTAAAAACACTTTTTTAGGAAAAGCAATGATTGATCGAGTTAAGCGTGTGATGGAATTAAACACCGCAAACAACATGACAGATTACACTGATGTATTTCTTAAAATTCTTTATTCATAAACTTGATGCAAGTTTACAAATTGTACTGTACATGGTCAAAATTACACTTACAATGAAAGAAAAAAAAACAAGGGAAAATAAAAAGCAATATAACCAAAGCATGCTAACAGTGCAGAACTGTCTGAACGCTCTCCGGCTGAGTGACGGGCTGATCTGGAATCAGCTGTTAACACATCTCTCTATTCAAACGCTCTACGGCTGAGTTGATCCTGGAAAACGTCTTCCGGGATTAAACCTACGGGCTCCATCTATGGCTTGATGTCAGAGTGGCATTATTTATTTATTTTTAATTTACCTAAACAAACGAAAAAGTGAAGCGGACACTGTCCCACACGGCACCTTCACAGCCGAACACTTCCCAGTGCGTTCAACGGCTCGGGAAAAGCAGGAATTATATTCTAAACCCCGTCGACGGCGTCGGGACCGAGAGCGCCGACACAAACACTGGACCGAGACAAACACTCTTTCTTTTCCGTTCTCCTCCTTTAAGGCATTATTGGTCACCGCCCAGCGTTCCCAGCACACGGCTCCGAACCCTTCCCAGACCCAGAGACTCGGAGCGCGTCCGTCATGTGTCTCGCATCGCAGGGCTCTAAAGGTTCTTCCAAACACCGGATCGTTCTGAACACGAGGAAGTCCGCTCCGTCAGAACCCGTGCCGCTCTCTCCGAGGAGATGTCGGATCAGGAACGCAGGAATAATGACATTATCTGAGATGATAAAGCAACAAACAAAAAGAAAAGAAAAAGAGCTTTTCCCGTGGATGGGAGTCGAGCTTCTTCGACCCGGTGGAAGTGACGGGACACACGTGGCAGAGACAGAGGGATGAGAGGAGGAACGGGAACAAAGAGATGTCCACCGCAGGATACATGTTCATGTGTGATCTCTCGCTCTAGCCATCCTCTTTCGGTGGTGTGTACCAGCCTGTGGGAGACACACACACACACACACACACACACACACACACACACGTTGCTCAGATCCTCTTTCCTAAACTCCCCATGAAATCAAAACTTTCGATTGCTGAAGACAGACTGACTTGTGTGTGTGTGTATGTGTGTGTGTGTGTGTGTGTGTGTGTGTGTAGTCCATGTCTGCTGGTTTACAGCGCACTAAACACGTTTGCAGCAGATATACACACTTCTAAAAGCCAAATCAACTCAATTTTTGACCAAAAATATCTATGATTCGGTTTGTTAATTACAATGTACCAAGATTTTTTTGGTTACACTTTATTTTAAGGTGTCAGTGTTACAGTGTAATTATATATTTAAGTACTGAGTAAAATTAAGCAACTACATGTATTTACTATAGGGTTAAATTAAGGGTTAGTTGCATGTAATTATGCATAATTTACTGTTATTACTATAGTAACTACATGTCAGAACAACACTAAAATAAAGTGTTACCAAATAAAATAAAAAATAAATTTGTTTTGGCAGAAAAATTGGTAACATTATTTTAGTCTCCTTGTTATATTACATATACTTACTATAGTAATAACAGTACATTTTACATAATTACAAGCAATAAATGCTAAGCTAAACCCTAATTATATAGCAAGTACATGCTGTTAAATAATATTACTCCGTACTTAACTGTATAATGTATAAGTGTATAAATTAAAAGCAAGTAGGAAATAAACTGCACTCCTCCAATCATTGGATGGTGTTTAAAAAGGTCTTTAATAAAGATGTTTGTTCAGTCCAATGATCTTCAGCAGTGTTCTGTGCAGCCGTGTGTGTGACATTAAAAGGAAACGTGTGAGCTTGTGAAGCTGTGGTTCTCACCGTTCTTCTCGTGGATCTGCACCAGGGATTTATACGACTGCTGCGCTCTGGCAAGATTGTACTGGTTCTGAAACACACAGCAAATCTTCATTCTAGTCTCTACATTTTAATATATAACCTTACATCCGAGAAACAAGTGCAGGACGATCCCTGCTGCCATCCAGCGACGAGAATACTTTCTGTGTTTGTGTGTGTGTGTGTGTGTGTCATGGCTCTCGTGAACTCACTCGAGGCCCACAGTGTGTGTGTGTGTGTGTCGTGGCTCTCGTGAACTCACTCGAGGCCCACAGTGTGTGTGTGTGTGTGTGTGTCGTGGCTCTCGTGAACTCACTCGAGGCCCACAGTGTGTGTGTGTGTGTGTGTGTGTGTGTGTGTGTGTGTGTGTGTGTGTGTGTGTGTGTGTGTTTCGTGGCTCTCGTGAACTCACTCGAGGCTCACAGAGAAGGAAATGCATAGTTGAATATAGTCGTTATTGTTTGTATTAGAAAGTTGTGTGTAGAAAGTATTCTCGTCGCTGGATAAACTTAAAGTCCCTGTAAAGGCAATTTCAAAAAAAAATTCTAAACACATTATAAATGTTAGAAATGTATTGCTAAAACATATTACAAAGACTGTGAACTGTGAATTACTGAATTGTGGAGTTAGACCGTTAAACAGTTTTTCACCATTGCTATTTTCCGGATTTTCTGGGCGGGGCTAAAACAGGGCTCGATGACGCACTGGAGCCCCTGAGCTCCTGGACACGCCCCTACTTGATGACGCACTGGAGCCCCTGAGCTCGTGGACACGCCCCTACTTGATGACGCACTGGAGCCCCTGAGCTCCTGGACACGCCCCTACTTGATGACGCACTGGAGCCCCTGAGCTCGTGGACACGCCCCTACTTGATGACGCACTGGAGCCCCTGAGCTCCTGGACACGCCCCTACTTGATGACGCACTGGAGCCCCTGAGCTCGTGGACACGCCCCTACTTGATGACGCACTGGAGCCCCTGAGCTCCTGGACACGCCCCTACTTGATGACGCACTGGAGCCCCTGAGCTCCTGGACACGCCCCTACTTGATGACGCACTGGAGCCCCTGAGCTCCTGGACACGCCCCTACTTGATGACGCACTGGAGCCCCTGAGCTCCTGGACACGCCCCTACTTGATGACGCACTGGAGCCCCTGAGCTCCTGGACACGCCCCTACTTGATGACGCACTGGAGCCCCTGAGCTCGTGGACACGCCCCTACTTGATGACGCACTGGAGCCCCTGAGCTCCTGGACACGCCCCTACTTGATGACGCACTGGAGCCCCTGAGCTCCTGGACACGCCCCTACTTGATGACGCACTGGAGCCCCTGAGCTCCTGGACACGCCCCTACTTGATGACGCACTGGAGCCCCTGAGCTCCTGGACACGCCCCTACTTGATGACGCACTGAGGCTGGCCGCTCCTAACAATATTATAGAGCACATTCACATCAGTTTGGCGCTCAATCGCGAGTTACTGTCAGTACTATTATTAGTAACACAGCCTACAGATTGCTAGCTACTAGCTATGCCTTCGTCACGGAAATGCGTACTACCTGAATGCGATCACCGGATCACATACAAAACAGATCGGTGTCCTTATTTTAATTTCCGAAAAACGATTACATCAAGAAGTGGATTCATTTTGTGAAGAGCCACCTTTGATGGAGAGCTGAGGATCACCGCCAAAACCCGCCTCTGTAAGTGATCATTTTACACGGGATAGTTTTATAAACTTTCGTCGGAGACAACTGGGATTCACTGATAATCCGCTGTTACTGGTGAATGGGGCCGAACCGACTCCCGCCTCAGCCATCATCCTCCCGTCGCGCCGACAACTGGTGCCATCATCGGCAGTGCGTGCCCACCGTGCGAGCATCCATTCCGGCTGTAGAGTTCAGTCTATGGTTCAGTGTGGCGAGTCGGCAGCTTTCCCGTGAGTGGGCGTGGTTTCAGCGCAGCCAGTGGACACGCCCCCAGCGTTTGAGAGCAGAGAATACTGCTCATTTTTTCAAGATTTTGATAGCTTATTTTATGTACTTGCTGGCTTTTTTTATCATTCAAATTTGGCTGGGTGACTAATAACACATTTTTCTGTGGTGTGACAAACTCAAAACACATACTTAATTTTGACTTTACAGGGACTTTAAGGTTGAGCCGCTGTAGTCACTCAGACTATTTTAACGATGTCTTTAATAACTTTTCTGGGCCGGTCAGTTTCGATCCCTTAGAAGCCTATGGAGGAGTGATCCAGCTCTCAGATTTAATCACAAATATCTTCATTTGTGTCCCGAAGATGAACGACAGTCTTACGGGGTTGAACATCATGAGGGAGAGTCATTACTGACAGAGTTTCAGTTTTGGGGTGAACTAACCCTTTAAGTGTGATTACCTTATTGGCTCCAAACTGCACTCTTGCTTTCCCCTTGACTAGTGTGGCATTGATCTGCATGATGACAGACTCTATGGAATAGGCACTGCTCCAGCCCTGAGGAAACAGATCACATGACCGTCACACACACACACACTTTCTCTTACGATCTCAGTCACATGCATCTGTACATCAGGACACTACAGCACTCATTTTGTCAGATTCAAGAGTTTGATGCACTTTGAAAACAGTTTAAAACAACTGGACATCAGGAAGAAATAAATATAAATATACAGTCAAACCAACACTTATTCAGACACTTCAACATTTCTCACATCATCAGCGTTTATAGTTTATAAACATGAGCAGAACTCAGAGTTCTCAGATCAGTGGATATTTGACTGGTTTTGTCCGTCCTTCTGTTAGACTCTCACACATGAATTATGTTGAATATCTGTCAGCTGGTAAATTTAACTACACAATTAGATAATACCAGTTTAGCTCAACCAGTGACCAAGCAATGCTTCATGTTGTTCAGTGTGTGTGTAAAAGAGCATTAGCAATTACAGAAAACACACTTCAGCAGAACATGATCAGCTCAAAGTGTGTGAGTAATCTTTGGCCCCAAATGTGTGTAAATGTCACTGGTAGTGTCTGTGTGAAGAGTTATTGGGTGTAATATGTCAGTTTACTTTATGTTGCTCTCCTCACTCACACACATGAGCTATAGTGTCCTGATCACACTAGTGAAACAAATCAACAATTATATCTGGTTTGACTGCATTTTAAATAAATGCATGATATGACCCTTAAGTTGAGGACTGTTGGAAGTGTCCTGAGTGCAGAAGTGGTCTGAGAACTGAGGAAGCGTAACGGATGTGTCTGAATCTTGAGTAGTGAACAGAAACACACCTGTTTAGTGAGTAGTTCCATACACAGAGCTCCTCCACCCAGAACATACCTGAACACACACTTCAGTTAGCCTGGGCTTTATATATACACACACACACAACAGTTAACCTGGGCTTTATATACACACACACACACACACACACACACACAAACAGTTAACCTGGGCTTTATATACACACACACTACAGTTAGCCTGGGCTTTATATACACACACACACACACACACACACACACAAACAGTTAACCTGGGCTTTATATACACACACACTACAGTTAGCCTGGGCTTTATATACACACACACACACACACACACACACACACACACTAGTTAACCTGGGCTTTATATACACACACTAGAGTTAGCCTGGGCTTTATATACACACACACACAACAGTTAACCTGGGCTTTATATACACACACACACACACACACTACAGTTAACCTGAAACTTTATATACAAATAAATAAATAATTATGAAGATATATATATATACACATTAATAATATCATAAAGAAAATGCATCACAATAACACAAATAGGATGAATAACGCAAAAACGAAAGCCTCATGAGACTCACCCTCCAGAAAGCACAGGAGAAACCACTCGTACAAACGGAGGATCGAACGGGAAGTTATCCTGAAGACACAAGAGAGATCACTTATTCTGGAAAAACCTACATTTAAATTGTACATACAAGCATTTGTACATTTAATAAATAAGTTGAACAATTATGGAAGGTAAATTGTCGTCACCTTATTTACAATGTATTATCAACTAAAGGCTAAACTCTCTCACACACACACTCTCTCTCTCTCACACACACGCGCTCTCTCACACACACACACACTCTCTCTCTCACACACACACACGTTCACTATCTTTGTGTCACTTCACTCTCCATAGACATAATGGGGTTTATACTGTCCAAACTGTATATTCTGTCCTCTCTTACACTAACCCGACCCCTAAACCTACCCATCACACACACACACACACACACACACACACGGCCAGCGAACTCACTTTGTAAGAGAAGTTGAGGAGTATGTAGTCGATTCCCTCCTTCTCCTTCAGCACCTGCAGGTCACTGTGAAGAGGACTGTCTGGATCCACACTGAGCACACACACACACACACATTCAGCTTTCTGAAAACTCTTAACTAACAAGCAATAATGGGAAAATCCAGTTCTTACGTTCTTATCTTCACATGCCACTCGTACAGGCTGTCGTTGAACAGCTCCACTGAGTAGATTCCTGGAGAACAGAGTAAAGCAGAATAAGAAGACCTGCCAGTGGCGTCTCGTTCATTCACACTCATGTGTATCAGTTATCAGGTGTCCAAACCGTTCTTATAACTCTGAGACCGGTAGATCTCCCTGAGCTCCTTCATGAGGCGATCCGACGCTTGAACTGATCCAGACACAGCGCCCTAAAGGACCCGAGAGAACACACTCACTCAATCAGACGCATTATTGCCCCGACGCACACGAGCTCATATGAATCCCACAGCTCAGATTGAGGAGCACTGGGAGCCGACAGCTCAGAGAACACAAGACGGGTCATTTAGAAGATTTCAGATTCACTGTAACACTTTACAATCAGGTTTCATTTGTTAACATTAGGTAATTACATTAGCTAACGTGAAATAACAATCCATGTTAAAATGTAACATTAGTTAATGCACTGTGAACTAATAAGAAGTTTTTAATTAACAAGCAACGGTTAATAAATTTGTATGTAATGTAAATATATTATAAATAATAAATAAATGTAATATTGTTCATTGTCAGTTCATGCATTAAATGTTAATGAATAAGAGCTTTTCGTAAAGCATTACCCCTTTTTAAAGAAAAGAAAATGTGATGCTACAATACAGTCAAATTGTGTGTCAAAATACATCAATTAACTAAAAACCTATACAGGATGTTTAAAATCAAGTAAAGTCAGTAAAGTCAAGTCCGTAAAGTCAGTAAAGTCAAGTAAGTCAGTCAAGTAAATTAAGTAAAGTAAGTCAAGTCAAGTAAGTAAAGTAAGTCAAGTCAAGTAAGTAAAGTAAGTCAAGTCAAGGAAGTAAAGTAAGTCAAGTCAAGGAAGTAAAGTAAGTAAAGTAAGTAAAGTCAGTAAAGTCAGTAAAGTCAGTAAAGTCAGTAAAGTCAAGGAAGTAAAGTAAGTCAAGTCAAGGAAGTAAAGTAAGTCAAGTCAAGGAAGTAAAGTAAGTCAAGTCAAGGAAGTAAAGTAAGTAAAGTCAGTAAAGTCAGTAAAGTCAAGGAAGTAAAGTAAGTCAAGTCAAGTAAGTAAAGTAAGTCAAGTCAAGGAAGTAAAGTAAGTCAAGTCAAGGAAGTAAAGTAAGTAAAGTCAGTAAAGTCAGTAAAGTCAGTAAAGTCAAGGAAGTAAAGTAAGTCAAGTCAAGGAAGTAAAGTAAGTAAAGTCAGTAAAGTCAGTAAAGTCAGTAAAGTCAAGGAAGTAAAGTAAGTCAAGTCAAGTAAGTAAAGTAAGTCAAGTCAAGTAAGTAAAGTAAGTCAAGTCAAGGAAGTAAAGTAAGTCAAGTCAAGGAAGTAAAGTAAGTCAAGTCAAGGAAGTAAAGTAAGTAAAGTCAGTAAAGTCAAGGAAGTAAAGTAAGTCAAGTCAAGGAAGTAAAGTAAGTAAAGTCAGTAAAGTCAGTAAAGTCAAGGAAGTAAAGTAAAGTAAGTAAAGTAAGTAAAGTAAAGTAAGTAAAGTAAGTCAAGTAAGTCAAGTCAAGTAAGTAAAGTAAAGTAAGTCAAGTCAAGTAAGTAAAGAAAGTAAATTCAAGTAAATTCAAGTCAAGTCAAGTCAAGTCACTGAACCGATTTGTTTAAAACCCCAGATGAATTTAAAAGTAAAGCAAGTAAAGTAAGTAAAGTAAGTAAAGCAAGTAAAGTAAGTAAAGCAAGTAAAGCAAGTAAAGCAAGTAAAGCAAGTAAAGTAAGTAAAGCAAGTAAAGTAAGTAAAGTAAGTAAAGCAAGTAAAGCAAGTGAAGCAAGTAAAGTAAGTAAAGTAAGTAAAGTCAGTAAAGTAAGTCAAGTCAAGTAAGTAAAGAAAGTAAATTCAAGTAAAGTCAAGTCAAGTCACTGAACCGATTTGTTTAAAACCCCAGATGAATTTAAAAGTAAAGCAAGTAAAGCAAGTAAAGCAAGTAAAGCAAGTAAAGCAAGTAAAGCAAGTAAAGCAAGTAAAGTAAGTAAAGCAAGTAAAGCAAGTAAAGCAAAGCAAGTAAAGCAAGTAAAGTAAGTAAAGCAAGTAAAGCAAGTGAAGCAAGTAAAGTAAGTAAAGCAAGTAAAGTAAGTAAAGTAAGTAAAGCAAGTGAAGCAAGTAAAGTAAGTAAAGCAAGTAAAGTAAGTAAAGCAAGTAAAGCAAGTAAAGTAAGTAAAGCAAGTAAAGCAAGTGAAGCAAGTAAAGTAAGTAAAGCAAGTAAAGTAAGTAAAGCAAGTAAAGCAAGTAAAGCAAGTGAAGTAAGTAAAGCAAGTAAAGCAAGTAAAGTAAGTAAAGCAAGTAAAGTAAGTAAAGTAAGTAAAGCAAGTAAAGCAAGTAAAGCAAGTGAAGCAAGTAAAGTAAGTAAAGTAAGTAAAGTCAGTAAAGTAAGTCAAGTCAAGTAAGTAAAGAAAGTAAATTCAAGTAAAGTCAAGTCACTGAACCGATTTGTTTAAAACCCCAGATGAATTTAAAAGTAAAGCAAGTAAAGCAAGTAAAGCAAGTAAAGTAAGTAAAGCAAGTAAAGCAAGTAAAGCAAAGCAAGTAAAGCAAGTAAAGTAAGTAAAGCAAGTAAAGCAAGTGAAGCAAGTAAAGTAAGTAAAGCAAGTAAAGTAAGTAAAGCAAGTAAAGCAAGTAAAGCAAGTGAAGTAAGTAAAGCAAGTAAAGCAAGTAAAGTAAGTAAAGCAAGTAAAGTAAGTAAAGTAAGTAAAGCAAGTAAAGCAAGTAAAGCAAGTGAAGCAAGTAAAGTAAGTAAAGTAAGTAAAGTAAGTAAAGTCAGTAAAGTAAGTCAAGTCAAGTAAGTAAAGAAAGTAAATTCAAGTAAAGTCAAGTCAAGTCACTGAACCGATTTGTTTAAAACCCCAGATGAATTTAAAAGTAAAGCAAGTAAAGCAAGTAAAGCAAGTAAAGTAAGTAAAGCAAGTAAAGCAAGTAAAGCAAAGCAAGTAAAGCAAGTAAAGTAAGTAAAGCAAGTAAAGCAAGTGAAGCAAGTAAAGTAAGTAAAGCAAGTAAAGTAAGTAAAGCAAGTAAAGTATGTAAAGCAAGTAAAGTAAGTAAAGCAAGTAAAGTATGTAAAGCAAGTAAAGTATGTAAAGCAAGTAAAGCAAGTGAAGCAAGTAAAGTAAGTAAAGTCAGTAAAGTCAGTAAAGTCAGTCAAGTCAAGTCAGTCAAGTAAGTCAAGTAAATTAAGTAAAGTCAGTAAAGTAAAATATGTAAAGTCAAGTCAGTAAAGTCAAGTAAGTAAAGTAAAGTCAGTAAAGTCAGTAAAGTAAGTATAGTAAAGTAAGTCAAGTCAAGTAAGTAAATTCAAGTAAATTCAAGTAAAGTCAAGTCACTGAACAGATTTGTTTAAAACCCCGGATGAGTTTAGTGACTGACGAAACACCACTGTACGTTATTGCCACATAGACGCGTAACTCTTTTGCTGTGGCTTGTTTGGAACTATTGTCCTTGGAGAAATAGAGCAAAATAAAATGTCACTTATCACAATATTCACTGTGTTTACTGAACTGTCGTATAAAGTCAACATCACATTTGCAATCGTGCTAATTTTCTGGAAATGGTGGTTAATATAAGTAATAAATATAAAAATAACACATAAATATTCAAAAATCTCCTTTTATGAATATGGTCAATTTTGAAGTCTCGAGTCATCAAATCTCAACCCAAAATCAAGATCCAAAACAGAAGCTTTCGTCAGAAGAGGAGTAGTTTGCTTGCCTGACTTAATGAACAATTCATTTCAAAAGGAACTACATCAATCACTCTGAAGGCCATTAGACTGAACCTTCTCATAATCATTCAACCTCCATCTAATCAGGACTGTGAAACTACTGCTTCGAACAAAAGCCTCTATTTCACCCCACCAGAACCCCGAAACATGAGGAAAGTGACCTTACCGAATGAGCACTTACATTCAAGTGGTCCTGCCTCTGGTTCTTGCGGATCTTCTCCAGAATGGCCAAGTTCTCCTTCTCGATCCCATCATCCTCTGACTTCTTCCCATCCACCGGCTCCTCCTCTTTCATTTCATAGTGTTCCAGATCGATGTCCTGCTGACAGAGAACATGTATATGATGAGGTCACTAGGGCTGGCCAAAAAAATAAATTTTTCGAATATATATATATATTTTTTTAAATGTGGTCAATTCAAAATCGATTCTCAAAGTCCACACATTTTTTCAATATTTTTTCCGCAAACATTGAACATAAGATTAACGTTAATCTTATTACTAGTCTTCTACAACCAAACAGTTGATGGGACCTATTGACTTCCATAGTATTGAAAAAAATAAATAATTAAGTCAACGGAGATCAAAAACAGTTTGGTTACCCATATTCTTCAAAATATCTTCTTTTGTGTTCAACAGAAGAAAGAAAATTATACATGATGAATACATTCATAAATGATGACAGAATTTAAGTATCACCCAAAAGCCAGTATTAGTTTTCCTGCATTGATCATAGGCTTGCAGCCTCCATGTTACAGCTAATGCTGTGAGGTTTTATGATTGTTTTATCTTAAATGTAAAACCACCTGTAAACTTATGTTCACTGTTCTTTTTTAATCAATATAGGATTTATATTAAATCTATATTCATTGAGTCGAATTGAGAATCGAATCGGGAATCGAAATCGAATTGAGAGCTTGCGAATCAGAATAGAATCGAATTGGAACATCTAAATCGATACCCAACCCTAACGATCACACATCATAAACAACATGAGGAAACCGGATACGAACCTCTCCCATCTCTTCCTCCTCTTCCTCCTCTGATGTGACCTCATCCGTGGTCCCAAGCTACAGGATAAGACATTTGTAAAAAAACATCATAAATTAATTATTTATTTATTTGCTCATCTGTCATTATATTATGTACTTGGGCAATATACAGCAGAGTATCAGTGCAATTCTATTGAAATTATCTGTTGTATGAATTAAATTATAATTCTAAAATACAAATTCGGAAATCAATGAACTTAACATGTTGGCTATGATGAACTTCATTAGTTGGACCGCAATCCAATGGCCAGATATAAAATATAATAAGACCTAATGAGTCCTATAACTGAGGTCCTGTAACTGAGGTCCTCTAACCGAGGCCCTGTAACCGAGGCCCTGTAACCGAGGCCCTGTAACCGAGGCCCTATAACCGAGGCCCTATAACCGAGTCCCTATAACGGAGTCCCTATAACTGAGGTCCTATAACGGAGCCCCTATAACTGAGGTCCTATAACGGAGTCCCTATAACTGAGCCACTATAACCGAGTCCCTATAACGGAGTCCCTATAACTGAGGTCCTATAACGGAGCCCCTATAACGGAGCCCCTATAACGGAGTCCCTATAACTGAGCCACTATAACCGAGGTCCTATAACGGAGCCCCTATAACTGAGGTCCTATAACGGAGTCCCTATAACTGAGTCCCTATAACCGAGTCCCTATAACGGAGTCCCTATAACTGAGGTCCTATAACTGAGGTCCTATAACGGAGCCCCTATAACGGAGCCCCTATAACGGAGTCCCTATAACTGAGCCACTATAACCGAGGTCCTATAACGGAGACCCTATAACCGAGGTCCTATAACGGAGCCCCTATAACCGAGGTCCTATAACGGAGTCCCTATAACGGAGTCCCTATAACGGAGCTCCTATAACAGAGTCCCTATAACGGAGTCCCTATAATGGAGCCCCTATAACGGAGTCCCTATAACTGAGCCCCTATAACCGAGGTCCTAGAATTGAGGTCCTATAACGGAGTCCCTATAACGGAGTCCCTATAACCGAGCTCCTATAACGGAGTCCCTATAACTGAGCCCCTATAACCGAGGTCCTAGAACTGAGGTCCTATAACGGAGTCCCTATAACTGAGGTCCTATAACGGAGCCCCTATAACCGAGGTCCTATAACGGAGCCCCTATAACCGAGGTCCTATAACGGAGTCCCTGTAACGGAGCCCCTATAACGGAGTCCCTATAACTGAGCCCCTATAACCGAGGTCCTATAACGGAGACCCTATAACCGAGGTCCTATAACGGAGCCCCTATAACCGAGGTCCTATAACGGAGTCCCTATAACGGAGTCCCTATAACGGAGCTCCTATAACAGAGTCCCTATAACGGAGTCCCTATAATGGAGCCCCTATAACGGAGTCCCTATAACTGAGCCCCTATAACCGAGGTCCTAGAACTGAGGTCCTATAACCGAGCTCCTATAACGGAGTCCCTATAACAGAGTCCCTATAACTTTACTGAGCCCCTATAACGGAGTCCCTATAACTTTACTGAGCCCCTATAACGAAGTCCCTATAACTGAGCCCCTATAACGGAGTCCCTATAACTAAGTCCCTATAACTGAGCCCCTATAACTGAGCCCCTATAACTGAGCCCCTATGACTGAGCCCCTATAACGAAGTCCCTATAACTGAGCCCCTATAACTAGGGATGCACGATATAGGATTTTGGCCGATATTCGATATGCCGATATTTTCAAACTAATTTTGCCCGATGCCGATACCGATATATTTATATATTTTTTAAGTGCAAAAAAAGCTTATTAAACTTTCTATTAAAGTTCTCAGTCAAGAGCAGTGAGTGATTTCCTCTGTGTTTTGTTGTTTTATTAACATTAACGGGATAGTTCTCCCAAAAATTTTAATTGTCATCATTTACTCTCTCAAGTTTCTTTCTTCTGTTGAAAATAAAAGTTATTTGGAAGAATGTGGCTAACCAAACAGTTGCTGTACTTCAACATCAGTGACTTCCATAGTGTATTTAAGCACAAGAAATAAATGAATACAGGTTTGGAACAAATTAGAGTGAGTAAACAATGACAGAATTTTTATTTCTGGGTGCATTATCTATTTAAGGACAAGCGGCAGCATATTACCGGTATTACTGTCTCTTTAAGAACTGCACGCGACGCGTCTAATATACACGCATTTGACAAGCAGATTTTCTCTGTTTGCTTTCACTTTAGACATAACCAACTTTGTTTATGTAAACCTTGTGTGTATTTGACAGTATCAGCCAATAAGACTCGAAAGATTAGTCCAGTATGCAGGCGCTGTGACGGCTTTTAGTTCCTGTGAGCGTCGCGTGTCCGCGCTCAGAAAAGCGCATGTTAGAACAGCGCATCAGCACGTGAATGACATGTTTACCTAGCAAGACTTTGACGCACATGCAAATAATGAACTTTTGTGAATTGCGGTGTCCCGTGAGTGTAACTCTACCTCTGCGTTTACATGTGATGTGATGTTATGTGAATGTACGTCGCGTTGTACAGTATGTTGAGATGAAGGCGCCAGAATTGAACTGATAGAATGCACGATACTATGATTTTTCTTCAAAAGCAGATCGTGGAGACATTTTAATCGTCCACGATCAAAAACCGCGTGAGACGCACACCCCTAGTTGGAAGTTTAAGTTGCTGGCGCTCATGCTTCGTTCGCGGTTGTCACGTGCGCATAGGAAACACGCCACCCTATCGGCAAGGCTCATCGGCAGAAATATTCATATTGGCCGATGCTGGTCATTTTAAGCTTTTTTCGGCCGATACCGATGTTGTCCCGATATCATCGTGCATCCCTACCTATAACGGAGTCCCTATAACTGAGCCCCTATAACCGAGGTCCTATAATCGAGGTCCTAGAACTGAGGTCCTAGAACTGAGCCCCCTAAAACCGAGGTCCTATAATCGAGTTCCTAGAACTGAGGTCCTAGAACTGAGCCCCTGTAACCGAGGTCCTATAATCGAGGTCCTATAATCGAGGTCCTATAATCGAGGTCCTATAACTGAGTCCCTATAACTGAGCCCCTATAACCGAGGTCCTAGAACTGAGCCCCTATAACCGAGGTCCTATAATCGAGGTCCTAGAACTGAGGTCCTATAACTGAGTCCCTATAACGGAGTCCCTATAACGGAGTCCCTATAACCGAGGTCCTATAATCGAGGTCCTAGAACTGAGGTCCTAGAACTGAGTCCCTATAACGGAGTCCCTATAACCGAGGTCCTATAATCGAGGTCCTAGAACTGAGCCCCTATAACCGAGGTCCTATAACTGAGTCCCTATAACTGAGCCCCTATAACCGAGGTCCTAGAACTGAGGTCCTAGAACTGAGCCCCTGTAACCGAGGTCCTATAACTGAGTCCCTATAACTGAGCCCCTATAACCGAGGTCCTAGAACTGAGGTCCTAGAACTGAGGTCCTAGAACCGAGGTCCTATAACGGAGTCCCTATAACCGAGGTCCTATAATCGAGGTCCTAGAACTGAGGTCCTATAACTGAGTCCCTATAACGGAGTCCCTATAACCGAGGTCCTATAATCGAGGTCCTAGAACTGAGGTCCTAGAACTGAGTCCCTATAACGGAGTCCCTATAACCGAGGTCCTATAATTGAGGTCCTAGAACTGAGCCCCTATAACCGAGGTCCTATAATCGAGGTCCTATAACTGAGTCCCTATAACTGAGCCCCTATAACCGAGGTCCTATAACTGAGGACCTAGAACTGAGCCCCTGTAACCGAGGTCCTATAATCGAGGTCCTATAACTGAGTCCCTATAACTGAGCCCCTATAACCGAGGTCCTAGAACTGAGGTCCTAGAACTGAGCCCCTGTAACCGAGGTCCTATAATCGAGGTCCTATAACTGAGTCCCTATAACCGAGGTCCTATAACTGAGGACCTAGAACTGAGCCCCTGTAACCGAGGTCCTATAACTGAGTTTCTATAACTGAGCCCCTATAACCGAGGTCCTATAACTGAGGACCTAGAACTGAGCCCCTGTAACCGAGGTCCTATAATCGAGGTCCTATAACTGAGTCCCTATAACTGAGCCCCTATAACCGAGGTCCTATAACTGAGGACCTAGAACTGAGGTCCTAGAACTGAGCCCCTGTAACCGAGGTCCTATAATCGAGGTCCTATAATCGAGGTCCTATAATCGAGGTCCTATAACTGAGTCCCTATAACTGAGCCCCTATAACCGAGGTCCTAGAACTGAGCCCCTATAACCGAGGTCCTATAATCGAGGTCCTATAACTGAGTCCCTATAACGGAGTCCCTATAACGGAGTCCCTATAACGGAGTCCCTATAACCGAGGTCCTATAATCGAGGTCCTAGAACTGAGGTCCTAGAACTGAGTCCCTATAACGGAGTCCCTATAACCGAGGTCCTATAATCGAGGTCCTAGAACTGAGCCCCTATAACCGAGGTCCTATAACTGAGTCCCTATAACTGAGCCCCTATAACCGAGGTCCTAGAACTGAGGTCCTAGAACTGAGCCCCTGTAACCGAGGTCCTATAACTGAGTCCCTATAACTGAGCCCCTATAACCGAGGTCCTAGAACTGAGGTCCTAGAACTGAGGTCCTAGAACCGAGGTCCTATAACGGAGTCCCTATAACCGAGGTCCTATAATCGAGGTCCTAGAACTGAGGTCCTATAACTGAGTCCCTATAACGGAGTCCCTATAACCGAGGTCCTAGAACTGAGGTCCTAGAACTGAGTCCCTATAACGGAGTCCCTATAACCGAGGTCCTATAATTGAGGTCCTAGAACTGAGCCCCTATAACCGAGGTCCTATAATCGAGGTCCTATAACTGAGTCCCTATAACTGAGCCCCTATAACCGAGGTCCTATAACTGAGGACCTAGAACTGAGCCCCTGTAACCGAGGTCCTATAATCGAGGTCCTATAACTGAGTCCCTATAACTGAGCCCCTATAACCGAGGTCCTAGAACTGAGGTCCTAGAACTGAGCCCCTGTAACCGAGGTCCTATAATCGAGGTCCTATAACTGAGTCCCTATAACCGAGGTCCTATAACTGAGGACCTAGAACTGAGCCCCTGTAACCGAGGTCCTATAACTGAGTTTCTATAACTGAGCCCCTATAACCGAGGTCCTATAACTGAGGACCTAGAACTGAGCCCCTGTAACCGAGGTCCTATAATCGAGGTCCTATAACTGAGTCCCTATAACTGAGCCCCTATAACCGAGGTCCTAGAACTGAGGTCCTAGAACTGAGCCCCTGTAACCGAGGTCCTATAATCGAGGTCCTATAACGGAGTCCCTATAACCGAGGTCCTATAATCGAGGTCCTAGAACTGAGGTCCTAGAACTGAGTCCCTATAACGGAGTCCCTATAACCGAGGTCCTATAATCGAGGTCCTAGAACTGAGGTCCTAGAACTGAGTCCCTATAACAGAGTCCCTATAACCGAGGTCCTATAATCGAGGTCCTAGAACTGAGGTCCTATAACTGAGTCCCTATAATCGAGGTCCTAGAACTGAGGTCCTAGAACTGAGCCCCTATAACCGAGGTTCTATAACGGAGTCCCTATAACCGAGGTCCTATAATCGAGGTCCTAGAACTGAGGTCCTAGAACTGAGTCCCTATAACCGAGGTCCTATAACTGAGCCCCTATAACTGAGGTCCTATAACTACCCGGTGCGAAAGCCCCTAAAGAGGTTCACCTTGCGGTCCGGGTTCAGGGGCGCTGCAGGGAGCGGCTGGTCCAGCATCTCCACATCAGGGTGTTGGGGAAGATTATAGAGGCGACACAGATCACAGATCAGCCTCTTCAGCTGCTGCAAGAGCTGAAACACAAACACACACAAGCAAGCTCACAAATCACACCGAAACTGACCAACATGTCCCTGAAGTCGAAAACAGGAGAGCAAAGAGAACAAAATGTGGGAGCAAAATATACCCTCATTATCAACTCCCACATATTAAACACTTGAAGGATTAGTTCACCTCAGAATTAAAATGTCCTCATAATTTACTCATCCAAGATATTTATGTCCTTTTTTCTTCAGTCAAAAAAGAAATGAAGGTTTTTGAGGAACACACTCCAGGATTTTCTCCATATAGTGACTTCAATGGGGTCCAACGGGTTGAAGGTCCAGATGTGAGTTTCAGTGCAGCTTCAAAGTCTCGACACGATCCAGCCGAGGAATAAGAGTCTTATCTAGACTATATCACTATATGGAGAAACATCCTGTTTTCCTCAAAAACCTTTTAAATTATCAGGAAATATTAATCCTGAAGTGAACTAATCCTTTAATGGAAAAGATCATTTCTGACACTGACCCCAACCACTGTTATGAACGGTTAATAACATGCAGATAGAGATTAGTCAAGTTAGAACAGGACTTTATGGGTAATTTGTGCACAAGATCCGTTTCCTTCAGAGGGAAAAGGCCAATCCTGTCAGTGATCTCAACTCTACAATACAAGCAGATAGAATTTCACTTGCATGTAATGAAAACCTGACTGAAAATAAATCAGGCTTTATGAGAAGGAAGAGAGCAGTCGAGGAGCCGAATCAACCTCGAAACTTTAATATACACACACTACTGTTCAAACGCTTGGGGTCAGCGAGATGTGTTTTAAAAAGAAATCAATACTTTATTCAGCAAGGACACATTAAATTAGTCAAAAGTGACAGTAGAAACATTTATAATGTTACAAAGGATTTCCATTTCAAACTTTTATTCATCAAAGAATCCTGAAAATTAAAATGTATCACGGTTTCCACAAAAATCATATTGAAGTTAAACTTCTGTCATGTGAATGAAAAGAATCATTACATTGTCGTCAAGAAATGAACATGTGTTTGCTGGACAGAGCCTTCTTCACTTTAAAGGATTCCTTTATACAAAAATGTATATTCTGTCCTGATTTATTAAACCCACGTCGTTCCATACCCGTATGAAGTTGTTTTTCTTCTGTGTAACACAAAAGTAGAAGTTCAGCAGAATGAAGATGAGGCTCTTTTACATACAAACATCCACCCATTGCCATGTGACAATAATCGCTCATGAAACAACAAATGCATCTGCCATTACTGACATCAAACCTGTTAATGCTGATGACAAACACACAAACATGAACAAGATTTGGAGTGAATGAACATTCAATCGGCACAAAGCATCGTAAGCTTTCAGAAGACTTGGTGTTGTGTGGAAAACAGCTGCGTCAACATTCTGCCAAACGCCCTCTTTTGTGTTGAAGAACAAAAGTCATACCGGTTTGGAATGACAGAACACGGCGACAGACTTTCCAGGTTAGCATGAACTAATCCTTTAAGTAGAACGAGTTTAAATGTGGAAGATTTGACGAAGGTCCACCTTCCCGTTTTAATCAGGCATGCAGTCCGTCTAAAAGCGTGCTGGTGTCCCAGTTAATCCATTACAGACAACAAATAGTTTATAAAAAGCACGGCTCAGAGACTCAGAGATCGTCCGTGAGCTCACTCATATTACACGGTTTAGTTTGTTGTGTAAGGTCGACTCGATTACAGTGTAGCTCGGCTGGTAATTACTATTTACTGCTGTTCAAAGCATCGTGATTACAACACCTGCTCCGCTCAAAACCAGCTTTAAGATTGAGTTTATTACTAATTACCTTCATTTACAGTCACTTGACATGAGAAATTAAATATGACTTAAAGAGGATGTTGTGTACAGTCTTGGGCTCGACTAGAGCAGGTTTTCCTGCTTGGATGTTGATTATTTTCCTATATGTGACCCTGGATCACTAAACCGGTCACGAGGCGCACCGGTTTATATGGGGCAATAGCCAACAATACATTGTATGGGTCAAAACTATTGATTTTTCTTTTATGCCAAAAATCATTAGGATATTAAGAAAATATCATGTTCCATGAAGATATTTTGCTATAAATTACAGGATCTCTTGACAAACTAAAGTCGTAAATGACATTTGTATGTGTTCTGAATTAAAGACACAGGTTGCACTGAATGTCAGTTTGCTTATTTTGCTCAAGATCAGGATTTATTGAGTCCACATGTCATGCAAACTAGAGACTCTGCTTCTAACCACAGGTCGAGATCTGTCGCTCACACACACTCCTCTGCGATGCTGTCGCTCACACACACACCTCTGCGATGCTGTCGCTCACACACACACCTCTGCGATGCTGTCGCTCACACACACACCTCTGCGATGCTGTCGCTCACACACACACCTCTGCGATGCTGTCGCTCACACACACTCCTCTGCGATGCTGTCGCTCACACACACACCTCTGCGATGCTGTCGCTCACACACACACCTCTGCGATGCTGTCGCTCACACACACTCCTCTGCGATGCTGACGCTCACACACACACCTCTGCGATGCTGTCGCTCACACACACACCTCTGCGATGCTGTCGCTCACACACACCTCTGCGATGCTGTCGCTCACACACACACCTCTGCGATGCTGTCGCTCACACACACACCTCTGCGATGCTGTCGCTCACACACACACCTCTGCGATGCTGTCGCTCACACACACTCCTCTGCGATGCTGTCGCTCACACACACTCCTCTGCGATGCTGTCGCTCACACACACTCCTCTGCGATGCTGTCGCTCACACACACTCCTCTGCGATGCTGTCGCTCACACACACACCTCTGCGATGCTGTCGCTCACACACACACCTCTGCGATGCTGTCGCTCACACACACACCTCTGCGATGCTGTCGCTCACACACACACCTCTGCGATGCTGTCGCTCACACACACACCTCTGCGATGCTGTCGCTCACACACACTCCTCTGCGATGCTGTCGCTCACACACACACCTCTGCGATGCTGTCGCTCACACACACTCCTCTGCGATGCTGTCGCTCACACACACTCCTCTGCGATGCTGTCGCTCACACACACACCTCTGCGATGCTGTCGCTCACACACACACCTCTGCGATGCTGTCGCTCACACACACACCTCTGCGATGCTGTCGCTCACACACACACCTCTGCGATGCTGTCGCTCACACACACTCCTCTGCGATGCTGTCGCTCACACACACACCTCTGCGATGCTGTCGCTCACACACACCTCTGCTATGCTGTCGCTCACACACACACCTCTGCGATGCTGTCGCTCACACACACACCTCTGCGATGCTGTCGCTCACACACACACCTCTGCGATGCTGTCGCTCACACACACTCCTCTGCGATGCTGTCGCTCACACACACTCCTCTGCGATGCTGTCGCTCACACACACTCCTCTGCGATGCTGACGCTCACACACACTCCTCTGCGATGCTGTCGCTCACACACACACCTCTGCGATGCTGTCGCTCACACACACACCTCTGCGATGCTGTCGCTCACACACACACCTCTGCGATGCTGTCGCTCACACACACACCTCTGCGATGCTGTCGCTCACACACACACCTCTGCGATGCTGTCGCTCACACACACTCCTCTGCGATGCTGTCGCTCACACACACTCCTCTGCGATGCTGTCGCTCACACACACACCTCTGCGATGCTGACGCTCACACACACTCCTCTGCGATGCTGTCGCTCACACACACAACTCTGCGATGCTGTCGCTCACACACACTCCTCTGCGATGCTGTCGCTCACACACACACCTCTGCGATGCTGTCGCTCACACACACTCCTCTGCGATGCTGTCGCTCACACACACTCCTCTGCGATGCTGTCGCTCACACACACACCTCTGCGATGCTGTCGCTCACACACACACCTCTGCGATGCTGACGCTCACACACACACCTCTGCGATGCTGTCGCTCACACACACTCCTCTGCGATGCTGTCGCTCACACACACTCCTCTGCGATGCTGTCGCTCACACACACACCTCTGCGATGCTGACGCTCACACACACTCCTCTGCGATGCTGTCGCTCACACACACTCCTCTGCGATGCTGTCGCTCACACACACTCCTCTGCGATGCTGTCGCTCACACACACACCTCTGCGATGCTGACGCTCACACACACTCCTCTGCGATGCTGTCGCTCACACACACACCTCTGCGATGCTGTCGCTCACACACACTCCTCTGCGATGCTGTCGCTCACACACACGCCTCTGCGATGCTGTCGCTCACACACACTCCTCTGCGATGCTGTCGCTCACACACACTCCTCTGCGATGCTGTCGCTCACACACACTCCTCTGCGATGCTGTCGCTCACACACACACCTCTGCGATGCTGTCGCTCACACACACTCCTCTGCGATGCTGTCGCTCACACACACTCCTCTGCGATGCTGACGCTCACACACACTCCTCTGCGATGCTGTCGCTCACACACACACCTCTGCGATGCTGTCGCTCACACACACTCCTCTGCGATGCTGTCGCTCACACACACTCCTCTGCGATGCTGTCGCTCACACACACTCCTCTGCGATGCTGTCGCTCACACACACAACTCTGCGATGCTGTCGCTCACACACACTCCTCTGCGATGCTGTCGCTCACACACACTCCTCTGCGATGCTGTCGCTCACACACACTCCTCTGCGATGCTGTCGCTCACACACACTCCTCTGCGATGCTGTCGCTCACACACACTCCTCTGCGATGCTGTCGCTCACACACACAACTCTGCGATGCTGTCGCTCACACACACTCCTCTGCGATGCTGTCGCTCACACACACTCCTCTGCGATGCTGTCGCTCACACACACACCTCTGCGATGCTGTCGCTCACACACACTCCTCTGCGATGCTGTCGCTCACACACACTCCTCTGCGATGCTGTCGCTCACACACACACCTCTGCGATGCTGTCGCTCACACACAC